GAAATATGAGTCTGAGATTGACACCAGTCTCTCTCTCAACTCGTTTGGACAAGTTCGACTTTGAGTTTAGCTCAAATAACTTTGGGTTATATTTGGGTTGCACAAATTCAAATATCAAAAAAAAAAAAAGCTTCTCCATATTGAAGTTAGGAATGTTACATTTGGTTTAGCTTCCTTTTTCTAATACTACTTGTTTGAATGTACTTCGCTTCTCTGAGATAAATTTGTAGAAGATATGAACACTTTTGCATATGCTCAAATGCTTGTAGAGTGGATGCCTCATAGCGTGAAAGTTTTGTGGTGGGCACATTGAAGCAGATTTTTTAAGTTGTGCAGCTCATAGAAAAAATATGACAGTCTTGAGTCTGCAACACCAGAGATGGCAATGCAGGGCTGTGATGTTGTAGTTGTGATTACAGGTTTCAACTTTGAATTACTTCTGACTTCCATATTAAGGATTGTCTTCATATGTAGGTAGTGACTTCGAAAGCCTATCAAAAACCAAATAGAATCCATGAATGGGCAACCCTTACAACCCATGTTCAGAAAGTTAAAAAATTTCAAAAATAAGAAATCTAATTTATGGGCAAAATTATAAAAGTTTCTTATCTCCGTATAGGTAACCCTTATCTGATTATCTATCTATACTATTATATTAAGTGAAGGTTGGATTTGGTGTCCAAGCTTTTGCTTGCTTCTCCTTATGCCATGTGTCTCTCATTTCTCTATTTAAAACAAAAAAGTTACATAGAGATGTGCACAAGACTTGAAACTTTGACCTTGACTTTAGGAAAGAAAGTCTTACCACATAAGCAACACACATTGCAATATTAATTTCTTTGTTGTTTATTTTTACTTTTACTTACTTGAATTGCACAAGCATTGCATATGCTATCTGCTAATTCAAAGTTAAAGATTACATTGTAAAGACCTAATATATATAGGCTTGAAACCCAAATTTAAAGTAGGAAACTAAATCATAACATTATTTGGAAACCTAATCTTTAGTAAAATCAGTAACTAATTAACTATCAATAAAAAATAAATATAAAATTACAAATAAATAAAATCTCCATGTCATGTTCCGCATCATTATGTGCATTCGACTTGAAATTAACCAATTTCCAAATTCTTTTGCTTATTTAATTTTTCCTTTTGTTGATATTATTATCTGTGTCATTCTTCCATTGTTGAGGAAAAAAAAAGAAAAACAAAAAAAAAGGCAGCATTTGGTTTAGTTTTAGAATCATGATTTGAGAATGGAGTTGTATTTTGAGTTTGTGAGTTGTTGAATCATGATTTGAAAATCGAAAATTTATTTGGTTATGAGTTTTGAAAAGAGTTTTGAATTGAGTTTTGAATTTTTGAAATGAGTTTTGAAATAAGAAAAGTTGTTTGGTTATGAATTTTGAAAAAAGTTTTTAAAACTTAATTAAAAAACTTATAACTCATAACCAAATACACAACTCGAAATTCTATTGAAATTTCTATTCAAAGCTCATAACCAAACTCTTTTTAAAATTCAACTCAAAAAAATAATTTGTATATTTAAAAAATAATATCAAAAATAAATATAATATATATATATATACGTTTTTCCAAATAACAGGTGGTGATTGACAATTGAAAAAAATAAAATAAAGTATTGATCCGATCAACCGACCAGACATCCGACTTTAAAAAAAGTACTATTCCGGGCGAACGACCGCGTAGATCTGACTTACCAAACATGTTTTCTAAATGTGTTTTGAAATTGATTTGAAATCATAATTTGAAAATTCTTACCAAATATAGAATTAAAATGTAAAGATAAAATTAATTTTGAAAAATCTTACCAAACACAACCCCTGGTGGTTTAAGGAATGTTTTATATCATCCAACAAACATGGATGGAAGGAATAGATGTCTTGTCTTAGGGTGTGTTTTTGACAGCATTGTACAAAAGAAGAAGAAAAAACAAGAATTCCAAGGTTATCTAAGCCTTCGTTCGATGTACATTGATATTCTGATTTTTTAACTTTTTAATTATTTTAAATTAAGGTTAAAAAATTTCGTTTGGAATACATTTTTGGAAAATTTACCCATAAGTCCTAGTTTTTGAAACATTAAACCATTTAGTCCTAAAAGTTTTCTTATGCTCCATTTAGTCCCATTTTTACATCAACATGATGTGAATGATGTAAATGATCTGATGTTTCATTCTATAATTTCAAAAATTATTGAAATCTGATGAACATTAGATGTTTTTCATCCTATATTTTCAAACATTATTGAAATTTGATGAACATTAGATGTTTGAAATCCAATGTTTGTAACATGACTCTGATGTTATTAACATTGTATCTGATGTTATTAACATTGTAATGGGACCTTTCAGTCTATAAGAAAACTTTTAGGACTAAACAGTACATAAGTTATTAATTTGGGATTTATTGGTGCATCTCCCTAAATTTTTTTAACTTTTTTAACTTTTGTAAAAGAAAAAATAAAATGATTATAATTTTAATGTGACATTTTATCTTATTGAACTAAAAAACCTATTTTATCTTTTTGTGACTAAAATAACTCCACCCCAACCTAACCCAAACCAAACCTTCATGCCAAACATAGTCTAAGCCTAGCTCAAAAACTAAAATAATAAATAAATTTAATAAAGAAAAGTCAGCTGTAATTCACCAAATTGTTTAAAGTGTCACTATTTGATATGAAATTTTCAAAAATAATTTTTTAAATTTTCAATTCATATTATTATATATTTTTAAATATTTTAATCAACTTTTTCAGTTTTTAGATTTACTTAAACTTTAATATACTTAAAAAGTATAAAATTTATGCAAAAATCTTTAAAATAATTATTGAATATAACTAAATACAAAAATATACTAATTTTTTGTATTATTTTATAAAATTCACAAATATTAGCATATCTAAAAAAAAATTTAACATAAATTTCTAAAAAAAATTCACTAAGAAAAATACAAAAACAAAAAAAAAATAAAGTACTTCCATACAGTAGTCAAAAGCACATCAAAATTTTGATCAGCAGCATATAAAATGAAACAAAGGGGCACTCTCTAGTAGCCACCCTTTAGATCGTTAACCACATCATAAGGTATGGGAGTGACGGTCTCTAGCATCACACCTTCAACCATAAAACCAGGTTTAGGGCCCTCTGGCTGCCTCTTGGGAGTAATTCTATTTCCATACACTATTTACACTTTGTGAACATCTTTCTTAATACATACACTTAATGAATTTATTTATCTTTTGTTTTACTCATTCTACACACAAAATGTTCCAAATATGCCCATGACATATAATGTGTATAAAAATTTCAACACATTAGGTACACATACCACAAAAAACATAAACTCCCACCACACCCCTAAGCCTAAGTCAAAACCTAAACCATGCCCAACACACATGACATTTTTTCGGCACACTCCAGCAATTTTCCAACCATATTTACTAAAGTATGCAAAAAAAAAAAAAAAAAAAATTTAAGTCAAAAATTTTTTTTATTTTTTTACAATTTTTTTTTAAAAACTAATATTTTTTTTATTTTTAATGCTCATTGTTAAAGAAAAATAAGACTTGAGTGAACCCTTATTAAATGCTTGGTCACTGAGAGAAGTAAAATGCCCAGATATTGAATTTTGCAATTTTGGCCTGAGATGGGTAATACACTGTTGAACCTGCCCCGATTTATATAACTTGAAGAAAACAGATTTCAAATCCATGTCTGAGCTACGAAATTCTATTGATGAACTTGACTTGAATATGGCTTGTTGGCTTTTATCATTTGAGAGAAGGCACGATGGGACTATGTTGAATATTGAGCTTCATTTTTTTTTTTTTTTGATTTTTTTTTTTTTTTTTTTTGGCTTTTTGGTGATTTTTTGGTTAAAAAAGCTAATTTTTTTTTATGTAAAACAATTAAAAAGTCAATAAGTTAACTTTTTTTGACTTGTTGCTAAAAGATCTCATTGAGCTGTTTCAAATTTATGAGTCAATAAGTTAACTTTTTTTGACTTGTTGCTAAAAGATCTCATTGAGCTGTTTCAAATTTATGTAAAATCTTTTTACATTCAATTCTGTTATCAATAGCTATATATCAAATATTTATATAAATATGTCTATTATTAACATGGTCATATCACAAATTAAAATTTTATCATCTATTTGTGTTAAGTCTCATTTATTTTGGAAGGTCTCTTGGAAGAGCATATTTAATTCTTAATATTTTTTTATCAAATCTAAATTTGATTAAAAAAAATATTCAAAAATCATCTTTAATCCTTTCATCAAATCCTTCATTAAATTGAATTTGATGAAAATTCAAGAAGATATAGCATTGAATATGATTTTTTTTTTTCATGAAATTCGATAATAATAATAATAAATAAATTTTTTTTAAAAAAAAAGGATAATTTGAAATAAGAGAATAATTTTTAAAAGAATTTTGATGAAAATTTAATGAAAGAGTTGGAGTATATTATGTAATATATTAATTTTGTTAAAGCTATAATATATTAATATTCCTAAGTTTTATTATACATGTGACAAGTTTGAACTACATTTGTGATATTATTTTAATAAGTTTTGTAAAATAAAAAATACACTAAACCAAACTTCTGACTACGTCAAGATTGCCGCCAAACACGTGAATACATTTTCGGTAGAAGATATTTTTCAAAAAAATATATGCAGAAGTATGAACTATGTGTCCTGCAACATCTTATCATATTGGGTGACATATCAGTTTGAAGCATTGTATAACACATACAGCTCAATATTCTTCATCTTCCTACTACTGCATCATTGGTCATGTACCTAATGTAACTATTCATATATGTGAATGAATTGAACTAGAGAACAACAACATTGGGGGGTCTGTTTGGTAACTATGACTACTCATCTCTATTCATCATTGTAGAAGTACCCAAAAAGAAATTGATGTTACCCAAACACAGCGTAAAGGAAGAAAATTTTGATGTTACCCGGTGATCCCATTGGGAAATTCAGCATATCAGGCCAGTAAGAGGACTTGAATATCCATATCAGGCCAGTAGTGAGCTCTGAGGCTTCAATGTATTCATCCATGCAGATCAAATTAAGTTCGCATATAATCAGACTGGTTTCAACACCCCATATTATACAGTCCCCATTCTGCCAAAAAAAGAAAAAAAATAGAAAGACAAACTATGCATTAATATCCAAATTAAACTATTTGGTCAGCATAAAAAAAGAAAAAAAGTGATATCTATTGCTGAATTTATTTTATATTATGGGTGTATACATGCAATAAAAATCATATATATGGGGTAAAACCCAAAAATTGATGGGAGTTCGAGTTGCCATGTTACATGAAAACCCACATAAGAGATGAAGAGTTTTGGTTCGGTAATGTATAGCAACTCTTTAAAATTATATAGCAATGAAGTTACTCAAATGATTGGCTCAATTAAATCTCATTTGAGATTGACTCAAAAAATAAACAAATCAAGTTTGCATATATTTTGAAACTTCTTTAAGTTTTCTAACTAAACTTAAACAATTCACTATTAGGCTTGACTTAGCTCGTTTACTACATTATTCCGAGATATACAAGTAGACTACACCAAACCAAACTAAATCAAGCCTTAAGTTCCATCAAATGCGGTCGGCTACATGAATCTTTCTTCTCCACTCGACTCTATCAAAGGCCATTTCATTGGTCAAATTAAAGAGATTCATATCTCTATTTACTAGGCCTACTCCATCCCCTAACCCTTCTATCTACTGTCATTACATCGTATCTCTTCACTACTGCCTCTATTGGTCTCTATTGTATATAAGTAGACTACACATGATACCATATTTATTTATCATATTTTTTTTATCATTTTATTTGTCATCATTATATTGATCATAAATATAATTATGATATATGAGACGTCAAACAAAATATGATAAACATATGTGGCTATTCCGACATTGTCAATATGTAATGTACCCAAACGAGAGAAAGTTATGAAAATAATGTGTGTGTTTAAATATATTTTTTTTCCAATTTATTTTCAGAAACAAAATTTAAGATCTCAATGAAACACAAAAATTCTCATGAACAATTTATTGTTCCCATATTTAGTCATACATTAGAAAAATATAATGAAAGTCATTCCTAGAAGAGCAATAATACAAAGTGGAGGAGAGAAAACTTCAATGATGTTTTGAACTCTTTGTCAAGGACAACCTTATCGGGTCCTGCGGTGAGTGTCTCTACTTCTGCACGAGTTACATTAACTGCAAGAAATTCAAGAGATGAAAACTTAAGCAAATGAAAAAGAAATATCTTTAATGAATTTGATGACTGTATATCATCAGTTAAATTTAATGAATTCAAGAGATTTAGGTAATTTATTTCGGTCCAAATGTTGTCCAAATCTTAAAAGAAATAATCTTGATTATGCTATGAAATTTGGATAGAAACTGCACTAGGATCATCCAAACATAAATTGAATAAGTTGAGAATCAAATTGACACAATTACACAAAGTACATACTTAGAAGAAAAAGATGATCTTAACTCCATTATAAGATTTGGATGGAAATTGCACTCAGACCGTTTAAAAACAAATTGGATAAATTTGGGATCCAATTGAAATACTAAGAGCCAAAATAACGCAGAATACATAAACTTTGATAATCCATGATGTCATTCGGTCCAAAATTTAGAAGAAGAAAAAAATCTTGATTCCATTATAAAATTTGGACAATAGTTGCACTAGAAGTATCTAAAGACATATTGAATAAGTTGATAATCAAACTGACACAATTAAAATATCAAGAGTCAAAATGACATATAATATACTTTGAAACCTACTAGTATATTTAACCCTATTAACATTATAAAGAATGAACCACTGGTACTTTGCCCAAGTGGTTGTGTAAAACACTACTTTGCTATGTGAAATTGTAAATTCAACTCCTATGAAGATGAGATTGATACCCTACTAACATCTAACCCTTATTAATGTTTTTAGTAGCACGACCATCCACAGCATCTCTCTCTCTCTCTCTCTCTACATTGATAACCCTATGTTCTGGTGATTAGGGATATCTGAGACAGCTCATAAGAAAAATCAATGTAGTTCTTATATATATATATATACACCAGTGAGCTCATCATCTTCACCCATTGTGAAATTTAACTGGTTAAAATTAAGAGAAATGTTGGTGGCACGGAATTAAAATGCAAAAAATATACATAAAGTACAATGTATGGTTGAGATTCAACTTAAGTGTTAAGTACGTCATGGTTAGTGGGTCATACTTTTTTTTACATTTTCCTGTGTCTTAATTTTGTACATGTAGCAGGATTGTAAAATTTGACCAATACATAAAGAACAATACTAGAGGTACGTAAAATTTTAGCATTTGCCATACATAAATCACTGAATGTAAATGGATGAACAATTACTTTTGTAGCTCCCGGAGTCCCTCAAGTGCCTCATGATCCTTCTAAACTCTTCAGATGGCATCCCTACAACAACTCCATACTCACATTCTGATTCACTGAAGGCCAAATAATTAGCAGGGATATCAGGAATGTTGATTTCGCCTAGCGTGATCTCATGAGTTCCTGAAATTAAAATCTATTTTCTAATCTAAACATTTTCCAATAATAAGCCTGCAATTAACCTGTTTGGATTGACAGATTTGGTGAGAAAGAAAAGAAAATGGGGAGCTTTTCATAATTAAATCCACTAATCTCATACAGAACTTGCTCAAGAAATCCATTCAAGTTTACAAAAACAGATTGTTTCACGTTTTTACAGATTCAAGAATCGATTCGAAGACAACATAATTGAAAATAAATAAGCACATCACATCACATTATGGTTCTAAAACAAGAAGATGGCTAGGGTTTAAATACAGATTATTACTTTAAAAAATTAGGGGGCTTTCAAGAATCAATTATAACCAACACACACACACACACACACACACATATATGTGCAAATTAACAAAAACTGCGGAATTGAACATAATGTAATAGAATTATATATATATATACACACACACATGAAATCGAACACATACAGGCCAATATCTTCGAAGAGAAAACAGATGATCCTCTCCTCATAACTGGTCTAGGGCTATAATCATTACTTTCAAAGGTTAAAATCAAATGCTAAGTTGATTTCAAGAACAGAGCATACTGACCTAGGGTTTACAACAGATCACTACTTTCACATATGAAAAACAAGAGCACAACCTTAGCAAATGCTTAGAAAATTTTCAAGAATCAATTACATATATATATATATATGAAATTAAAAACATCAAATTAGGTTTTCAGAGAGTACTGACCAGTATCTTCGAAGACGAAGATGATGATCCTCTCTTCCTCGGGACAGGCGAAGACAGTAATGGCATCTTGATCGCAAACAGGGCCGGCCCTGCCTAAGGCAGGTAAGGGTTTTGCCTTAAGCCACATATTTTGGCCAAAAAATAGGGGCTTAAAATTTTAAAAATTGTTTTAGGTTCAATTTTTTTTTTTTTTTAGTTTTAAGATCAATTTAAAGGGGTCCAAATATTTTATTGGACCCATATATAATTTCAGGGCCGGCCCTGCCCTAAGGCAGGTAAGGCTTGTGCCTTAGGCCCCCTATTTTGGCCCAAAAATAGGGCTCCTAAATTTGGTAAAATATTATAGACTCAATGTTTTTTTTTTTGGTTTTAGGATCAATTTAAAGGGTCCCAAAATATTTTTTTGGGTCCATGTATGATTTACTCCATATTTATTTATAAGTGTAGTTTGGTCCATATTTATTAAAATGAAAATATATATTAAAAAAAAAGTGTTTGGGCTCAAGAAAAATAATACATACAATATATGGGCCCTATTTTTTTTATTTTTTATTTTTACCTTCTTTATCTATTAGATTTTAGTGGAATAAATAATTTTGCTCAAATTTTTTTACCTAGGTCTTTATCAATTTTAATTGAATAATTTTTTCCTAATTTTTTTGTTCTAATTTTGTTTTATTAAATTGTTTTATTTATAATTTTAATAATTATATGTGTAAGTAAATTTTTTTATGATTACAAACAAATAAAAAAATTGTAACTTATCGTTTTATTCATGAATTTTTTTTCAATATAAAAGGGCCCCTATTTTCAAAATTCGTCTTAGGCCCCGACGAACTCAGGGCCGGCCCTGATCACAAACAATGGAGAGTACGGTGTTGAGAACAGAGAGATCGAGGCCTGAAGTACAGCTATGTTCGTAGAAGTGAAAGCCATTGAAACTCAAAGAATTGAGTCGAAACACCAACATCTGGAGAGAGAAACAGAGAGAGGCAAATAGATTTATGAAAAAGAGAGAGAGAAGCGGGAAAAGAATCCGTGTTCGGTAATTTAACCGAGTTAGTTGTGGGGACGGTTTCTGTTTTGTTTTGGGAAAGCAGTTTTTTGAGTTTTTAATTATTATTTTTAAATTTTTAGTAATTTTTTAAAAATTTGTAGTTAACGTTTATTTGGGTGAAAAATATTTTTTAATAAAAAAAATTTCAGAAAATATTTTCTAGAGGAAATATTTTTTTATATTTAGTGGTGGTAGTGGAATGAAAGTGGAGGTGGAGGTGGAGGTGGAGGTGAATGGCATGGTAGTGGGGCAACGGTAGTGGTGATGGCGACGGTGATGGTGACAGTGGCCATGGTGATGGTGGTGTGGTGGTGGAGATTAGAGTAGGGATTATGATATAGTGTCATTAGTAAAAATTTAGGTCAAGTTTGGCATCCTCAAAAAAATTCAAAAAGTCAAAAAGTCACTATCCTATTTAAGTCACATCATCTTATTTTAGTCTAGAAAATACTTCTTGTCCAAATAGACTTATTTTTCATTGATTATATAAATATTTTATGTTGGCTTTCATTTTTGATTGCAACAAATACCAAAATATACGGAAAATATTTTTTCCCAAACAAATGAAAAGTTGGCTACGTTTAAAAAGTATAAAATTTGTGAAAATTTAAAAATTCACTAAATAAAAAAAATACAAAAATTGAATATATTTTTTTTTGTTTTTGTTTTATGCATTTATTGAATTCTTTTTACATTTCTTCACAAGTATTTTAATTTTTAAACATATTTAGATTGAGTGCATTGAAAATATAAATTTTTTTTAACTAAAATATGAAAAACAAATCACTAAAGATTACTCAAAAATTGTTTTTGAAAACTCAAAACTAAATAGTGTTGGTTTTGTTAAGTTTTCGTAATTAGCAATTCCGTTTGACAAAACTCTTTTCAATTATAATTTTATTCGTTCTTTTGTTTTAGTAAAGCTGTAAGTATTTAGAGGCGAATCCAATCCGACTAATGCCTGAGTAGTAAAGTTTGTGCTGACATTCCGTATCTTGAGCATTCTCTATTTGCCACTTCGCCCTTAAAGCCAAAGTTATTTGACAGATCGAGCGGTTATTTCTGCACTTGAGCGGTGAAGAGGAATATCCAATATCTCTATCTGCAAACTGAACTTCTGGGAAGCAAGTTTTACCGCTCGAACGGTGAATGTTGCGCTTCACGATTAGTCTATATGTTTTGCACCACCTTTACTCACACCGCTCGAGCGGTGTATGCGCTCAACCGGTCTTCGCGATTCTGATTACTATAAAGTGTGCAGTTTACTCGTTTTAGGATTTAACCCGTCCAGATTCTTAGAGAGAAAGAGAAAACAAAGTGTTTTATATTGGAGGATGCTTTATAAATGTTTGCTTAATAATTTGAGAGTTATCAATGGATCTATGAACTTCATATTAACATCATCAAGGGGTTTGTTTGTGTTCTTTTATTCACAAAAGAGAGAGGAGTTCTTCAGTAGATTCAAGGGAACTTAAGCCTAAAGCTTTGATGGATTTCAGAGTGACTCATTGTCGTGAATTTGACATCAGCGTTGTGGATTTAACGTTGGGTAAGACAATTATGAGGTGAAGACGGTGGTGAAAGAAGCACTTGGGCGTGGATTCACTAGATAATTGAAAGTACACATATGTAATTCCTTTTCGTTTTCTTAGTGGATTATTTTGTGACTTTGGCCTGTAAATTTTTATCACAATTGGAGATCCTCCAATTGTGATTTTTTTTTCACGTTAAATCGTTGTGCCAATTTGTTATTGATTATTTGATTGAGATTGGTATTCACTATTTAAAATTGAAACATGATGATGAATCAATAAATCGGGGATTTTAGATTTTTCAAGTTTCTTTGAGCTTATAATGAGAGTGAGAAGGGGAAAAATTAAGATAAATTATACTGACCTTTTTTATGATTTGAAGAAAATATAGTTAGTCGTATAATTTTGATATAGTTACACTGACATCCCTCTTAGTAAGATTAAATGTTGGGAAATTTTCAAAATAGGTTTTCAAAATTTCAGTAATGACAGAGATCCCCACAAAACACAATCCCTACAATCCCCCAAATGATCTGGACCATTCATGTTACTATTAGAGATAGAAAAAAAAAATTCAAACACATCAATAGTCAATACATCAGTAGAGGTCATGGGGTTCCTTCTTTATGGGGGTTCCAAACATTTTCCTCAAAATTTATTGTTTAGTTTTTGGGTGTTTTCAAAACCTTACTTGTTTTTCTTTGGAAAACTTGAAATAAGCTTGGGAACTTTGTCCCACATTGGAAAGAGAGGAAAACATAGAGCACTTAATAAAGTGTTACATGGAATATTCCTTTGAATATGAATTGTGGAATGGATGCTAGTGTACATACACTCACACCGCAAGGATGATGTTTCGCACCATCCGCACATGCACGCGTGCGTGGCGTGAGCAGTGGGCTGTGTGGCGTTTGATGGCGCACGGACGCATCGGCTCCGTGCGCAATGAGCCATGAGGGCGCTTTTCTATTTGCATTGGATAGGTTGGAGCAATTACGTGGATTCAACGTGGCGTCTGTGACGTAGAATACAGTCAACTCCATATGGCAGTGATGTGGCGTCCATTGGCGATCAGTTAACCAACCGATTGAACGGATTAAAGATACGCGCAATTGTATGGATGAGATGGCACCCGATCATGATCAGGTATGATCAATCAAGGCATCTATTCAGTGTGAGAATGATCTACATCATAGATCGTCGATCCAACAGTCAGATCTGATTGGATGAGATCAAGGGGCATGACCATTCGATCAGATGCATCAGGCTCAATCAATTCAGAAAGCATTCCTACAATTCTTTCTCCCTCTCTCTTGATTTAGAATTTTCGATCAAGAGTTTCTTAAGTAAGTTTTTGTTTTTCTTATTGGTAATCAAATTCTGCAGACTTGATTATTAGTGTATTGGTTTTCTCTATCATATCAAGAGTATTCTGATCTACTGTTGTCAGTGCAAACGCCGGTAGACTTGATCTTTAGATCAAGATTCATTGTATCCTGGAGGTGAATTTGCTGCAGCCCCCTGCACACTTTTTGGTGGATGCAAATATCGTCTTTAGGAAAGCAACTAAGTAACATGACTTGAAGCACCAAATTTCTATTTTACATATATAAGATCATTGCCAAGTTTTGAAAACCTGAAGACCACCAACTGAATAATTCAAGACAAATTGTTCTAACATTAAATAAACCAAAACTAATAAAGATAGCGTGAAAACATAAAGATAAATAAGGTAAAATATACATTTTCGTGTAAAAGATATGACAATATCATTTTTTCATCTATACAGCTGACAAATTATTAGTGAAAAGGAGGGTAAGTATTATGCAAATTAAAACATTAAGGAAATTAATATAATTATGTCAAAATTATAAAATTTATTGTATTTTTTCAAACTTCGAAAAAGATCAATGTAATTTAACTTAAAAATTACTATGAATAATTGTACAATGAGAAGTGAACCCTTGCAGTTGGGGATTATTATATCTATCTAGTCAAAATTTATATAATTTAACTTTTGGCCTTTCAAAATCTAAAAAATTTATATTGACTCCCAAATTATAATGTGGGTACATGGTCAAGCATCACATATATGCTAAAACTAAAAGCATTGCTTGAGATGATTTTGATTGCATTAAGTTGTTGGCAAAAGCACCAAAAAATTAAGATTAGTAAACACAAGCCACATTTGTATTAATTACATACACAATTAATCTCTTGAAAGCACAACCAAACAAGAAACAATGTTTTTGAGAGTAGACAAAAAAAATTTATCATGACAATGGAAATATTTTGGAAACATGGAAATGATGAATTGAAAGGGGAGACTAAAGTTTGTAGTTAGGACTACTCTTCTGTCTTGTCAAGATCTGGTTTTGGCTCTTCCTCTGTTAATCCTGGTTCAACAGAAACCACACTACTGTTCCTTCGATGATGAGCGGCCTCGAGGACATGGCTATATGTTCCTTTCTCCATGAAGAGTTGAGCAAAATGGTGCTTGCAATAGAGAACTCCATCAAGGGCAGCATAAGAGGAATGTGTAAGGGGACAGCCACCATGAGCACACTTGAAGCATGATTTGTGGAAAGACTCTCCTTCCATATTCACCTATATATCGATTTTAAGATGTAAGAAATCGTTAATTTCTTTTTTTCAAGCTTACACTAACAATAAACATGATTACTAGAGTTGGTACTAGTTGGAGAAAATCTAGGGACACAAAAAAAGTCACAGAATAGACACAAGGATGGGTACAGTTGTGTGGGTCAAAAAGAAAACAAATAATATATTCAATAGTGTTTATTCTATTTATATATTTATATATATCAGGTGTCCAGGTAAATCCTGACTAATCTTGAGATTCATGTAAAGCGTTCTCTCCACACGGGCCAACCAACTCTCAAGCTATGCCCGCAGACATTGCCCTTAAGCCTAAGGTAACACTCCATAGGAGTTAATCCTTAAACCTAATGCTTTCATGAGGCACCAAGGGCCAATTGATTGACCACCATGCCAAACCCCTTTGAGTTTATTCTAACATTTTTCTGTGTTTTTTTCTATTTGTAGCAAAACTGAATCAATTAGGTTAGGATGACAGAACATTGTCTTAGCCTTGTCCTCTTCCAACATTGTGTATGATTTATGCTTGGTAATTATTCGATATATATGAATCCGAAGACTACATGTACCTGAGAATCACCAGACCACACCTATGATTAAAAAAGAAGAAGAAGAAGGCTATATAGAATTGCAAACCTTCTCTAATGGGTACACAGTTTTGTTACAAGCTGAACACTTGTCTTGGGTTCCAGAGAACAAGGAAGAAAGTTTGCTTGGGGCCCTAGTCTGCAAAAGATTATCAATTAATAATATTCATTTATGTCATGAACAACATTACAAAAAAAGAAAGGAAAAAAAAAAGAAGGAATAAGACAATAAGAATTGCGGATGAATCCAACCATTTCATCAGATTTTCCCATTTAACAAAACTTATTTGCAGTTTATTTAGATTAAAATTTGAAATTTCATGCTCAAGCAGCTTACTTTGAAAGTTGGGGTGTTTGTTAAGACTGTTCCAGTCTTTAGCTTATTGAGATGCTTTTTTTTAAGTTGAAAATAGGTTTTACCAAGTAACCTCTTCAATTTTGATATTTAGTAACATTTGAAAGCAAACTTGTTTAAGCAAACTAGTAACAGGAAAATTCAACATTCAACTCTAGAAGAATTTTTCAAATTTTCTCTTGAAATTTTAAACCTAATTTATAGTAATTCAACTTAAATGATTGATAAGAGATATACTAATGTTGTGTTTGGTTGAGAGATTTAGGGAGAGATTTGGAAAGGGAAAGGGAAAAGGTGTGTGAAACTAGGTGAAATGTAGGTATATTTTATTCACATTTCACCAAACTTTTCCCTTTCCCTTTCCAAATCCCTCTTCAAATCCTCCAACCAAACACAGCGTAAAATAAATGGTACTTTGAAAGCACATTGAAATACACCCTAATAATGGAGTATGAACGTACCAGTGAATTTTCCCTCTCAGGTTTCCCCGCTAAAATATTCATCCAAAAACAACATTTAGTAAACCAACATAATGAGGTCAAATTCATGAAGCTTAAAGAAACTAGGAGATGAATACTAATAACAAAAGTCTCACATGTTTGGAAGTTCTTGCTGAAATTGCCAGACTCCTTGAAAAGTTGTTCAAAATGAGTTTTGCAGTAGAGGACTCCATCCATGGAAGAGTAGTTGCTCATCTGTCAAAAACAAAACATAATTCAATATTGGTAAGTACGCATTTTATGGCTAAGAAAAGTGAATATACAGTGAAGTTTAAGACGTGACCCAAAGGGTCTCACTATCAAACCACAAAAACTACACTCTCCAATGAGAGACAAACCTAAAGGGCCAGACTTAGCCTACTAAAAAGGAAAACCTTTGACAACTTGAGAGACTAGGTAAAAACAATACAATAATCAACACATAAAATAAACATAAACACAAATGCCTTCTTATTGTAGTTACATTATAAAAAGATGACTTGGTAAAGAAAGAAAGAAAAAAGAAAAAAGAAAAAAAAAGACACTTACAACAAGAGTTCCTTTGCAGTGGCTGCATTTGAAGCACGATTTGTGATAAGTAACTCCATCAGCAGACAACAAATCAACAAAATAAACAGTCTTATCGCAATCCTTGCATTTATCCAATGTCCCTGTGAATGCCATTTTTTTGTCTTCCAATTTTTTTCAAAAATAAAAAAATAAAGAATTAAATAATCTCTTCCTATTCGTTCTGAAGAACAACTTCTTGAGAAGAAACCAACAGATCGATTGGGCTGCCGAGGATTAAAGTTCAAAAAATGTTCAATGAATTGAAGTTGTGGCTCTTTGTTTCAGCCTCACACAATTGAGACCAAACAAAGTCTTTATTTTGTCTGAAGAAATCTGATTTATATCAAACTAAAATAGAATTTCAATTTTTTCTTGCAATGGTTTAAACTGGATTGGAATTGAACCAATAAGGGAAGGGCACGTGTTTGGAGATCCCAATATTATGAAGTTAAAATGGATTGTTTTGGAGTAAAATGTGGATTTAATCTGATTGGAATAGAGAAAAACAAGGGTTGTGTGTTTTGACTCATTCTTGGGGGAAATTTGGACCAAAAAAATAGCCTAACATCATTGTTATTGTTGTCTTGATAGTTATTTTAGTTAAAAAAGAAGTTGGTTAAATAGTGTGAAATGTATTGCAACACGATTCATGAGGCAAAAACCACGATTTTTTTTTTAAAATGCCAATACTGATCCCCCAAAAAAAGGTAAAAATTAGATTAGTCAAGCATAGGGTTGTCTAATGGTCCTTATTTTTATAGAAGTTAGGACTATTTCAGCATTGTTTTTAGGTTTTTTTGTAAAAGAAGATGAATGGGATCCACCTTATCTCTCACTCAATCAAGCAAGATGGATAAGATCAACTTCACCTAACCCAATAATCCTAACATGTTGACATGGTGCTTCCAGACAAAATGGATAAGATTAATCTTGTCTCTCACTTAGCTGATCAAGATAAATTAGGTTAATTTAATCCATCTCATAACTATTGTTTTTATTAATTTGAAACACCACGTAAACATACTGAGTGAGTAACTTGGACTACCGAACACGTATGGGAATTGACCATTGAGAAAGTAGACAAACTTGGCAGAAAAATATATAAAAATTGAATATAAAATTTTGTGATTGAATTTAATCTTATCATTTTAAAACAAATAACCCACCGAAGAGGTTTTTAATTATAAAATAATTGTCACCACCGTATCATTTTATCATAGAACTTTGTGTTAAAAAAATTCTAAGAATAAAATTTTCTATTGGCCGAAAGACTATTGCGAGCCAACGTTTCACTAAGATCGTCAAGACTCATTAGTAAAAATTAAGTGTTGTACCATTGATTCAGACCTTGTTTGGCAATTTCTAAATAGGTAATATTTTAGTTAGAAAAATTTAAAGTAAGAAATCTGTTTGGTTTAGTTAAAAAAATCTTTCTGTTGATAATGGCCCTGCATATTTTTAAAAAAATTCACAATCTCCTTTAGTTATTAACCAAAAGCTCCACAACATAATTTCTCACAAAAATGTAAAAATTGAAAAAACTCGGAAAACTTTCTCCATAACAAAGTATAATGTTTTAACAATCATCAAACACTTCAACATTTTTAAATCCTAAAAACCCAAAAATAAAAATAAAAACTATTAAAAAATACAAGGGGAAATTACCCACAGGTCCCATGTGAAACATGTGGACACCATTTAAACCCATAACTTTTTGGGTACACCCAAAAGTCCTTTCCTCCATCTCTCTGGTTTTTTCCTCCCTTTTTACGTTTTCTTCTCTCTTTTTTTCTACATTTTTCTCTCACCGTCTTCGTCATAGACGATGGTACAAGTGTTCATGTCTTTCTCCATTGATCAGGGTTCACTGATAACCACCAACCATCGAAATCAACTCGTGATTTTACTCTCACCGACGGCGAAGATATATATTTCCGACGAAGAAGATGAGTGGATCTACTTAGATCTGATGTAGATCTACTCAGATCTATCAGATCTGAGTAGATCTACATCAGATTTGGCTAGATCTAAACAAAAAATAGTTGTAGGAGTATAATCCTCTCTCTACATCCGCCTTTCTCCTTCGATCTCTTTTTTTTTTCTCTGCTATACACTTCTGTTTTTCTGTTCTAATAGAGAAAATTTTCGAATTCTGAACAAGTAGTTTTCGAGTTTTAGTTACAGGCGGTGAAAACTGTAAAATTTTGCAATTTCAAAATTTTTTTTTGTTACTGGAATGAATCATGGTTTAAAACTGTAAAATTTGCAGTTTTATAACATTCTTTAGAACTGTAAAATTTTACAGTTTCATAACATATTTTTTAATTTTTTCTTTCCGGCAATATTCTAGACATTCCGGTGAGCCTTCGGCGACCGTTAAATGGAAGTCCGACGGTAGTAAGATGTGAACAGTGTCTGTAAATTAAAAAAAAAAAAGATTTTTTGGTAACAATTAAAAATGTATTGGACTAATTGGTACAAGTGTTTTGTTTTGAGATTAGCTGGATCTTGAACTTGTTACATGAGACTTATCAGTAAGTTCCCCAAAAAACAATTATCAAACACCACCTTAATTTAAACCGCATAAAAGTTCTCAGAAACTACTCATAATGAAAGTGTCTTCATTAAATTGTGTACAATTGTCAACTGCATTCAATGTGCAGAAACAATACACCTGCTCAAGGAGGCAACGCCACCTGCTGGGACAAAATGACATCAGATATCGTCTTCCCATGCCTGTCAATTCTCCGAGAGCAGTTTACGCCACCATCTAGAATGTTCCGGACCACAACATTCAAAGAATGAATTCCTCTGGCTTCATATATTTCCACTTTAACGTTTTCGTTGACCCATTGGTCTCTCTTAGTGATAGCATCTGAGTCAGGAAATGAGGATGGATTTAAAATAGTCGAAACAACTTCTTTTACCCATTTGCGTGTGATTATCTTCTTCAACCTCTCGATATCTGGTGGAAAATGTGGGATAATCGAGAAGTTCAAGTCGTTTCCTTTGTCTCCGGCTCTGCTATGAGCTATGTTGTAAAGAGGAATCTTTTGGCCAGCCTGAGCAGGAGAGCAGTTGATTCCTGTTAATAGAAACTCTCTGCAATTATTGTATTTGGCTTCCTCTTTTATTGCTGATGAGACTGGCTCGGGCCGAGAATGGGCTGTTGATACATCATCCTGATTATTTGAGTTGCTTATTTTGCTTTGCTTCGAAGAAATGAGCACGTGAACATGTTCACGCGCGACCTGAACGACCAAACTCATGACAGTGAAAGTGTTGTTAATGAAAGGTTTGACTAAAAGCAAATCCAATCAATAAAAACTAACACTAACTAGGGGTGGTTCAAAGTTCAGTTTCAAAATTGTAACACAATATTAGAAATAGATTACAATTTCCAGGGAGTCGAGAAGGGGAAAAGGAAGGGGATGAAAAACAATAAGTTATTCATCATCTTTTTATAACTGAATATGAGTTTATGTGACTGATCATTTCCTCTTCAGAATTAATAATTTATAGCTGCACAGATATATATGTATATATACATATGGAGAGAGAGAGAGAGAGAGAGAGAGAGAGAGAGACATACAAATCCTTTTTCAAGAATAATCTCTTTCTTGTGTCCAGTGCTGCAGTTTTTAACACAAACAGAAATAGTAAGAGAATAATAAGAAATCTGTTTAGCAACAAAGATCTAATCTGAGTGACACTGAGATCAGCTGTTTCAAATTGTTCATTAAAAAATTATTTTAAAAAAAAACTGAAACCATTGTTATTAATGATGATACTACTTCAAAACCTTGAGAAGTGGAGGAACAATATCACAAAGATGGGGAAAATGTAGATAAATGCTTAGAAAGATGAGCTAAAAAGAACTTAAAGGTTTCACATAAATGAGATACGAAGCCAAGTAATAACTATTATGAGTTTAAGATGTCCAATTAAAAGAACATCAGTTCTTGAGGATTAGAACCCAAATTATGGTTGAACTATAACCCAACGGCCTCCATTCTTGATCTATGTCACATGGACTCAGGTATGGGTACTGGTGCAGGTGTGATGCGTGTCCAAGTGTCCGATTCATCTAATTCTCATATCCAATGAGAAAAATATTCATTTTTATTAATATATATATATATATATTGTTAGAATTTACCATCACCTACCACCACTACCACCTCACCTACTCCACTAAACCTAACCCACTACACCACTACCACCATCCACTACACCTACATCTATATAAGGAACCATTTGTAATAGACATAAAATCAACAAGATATCAATCAATAATACATATATTTTTCATATATTTTTTTTTCCAGGGAGGTGAGGGGTTGCAAAGATTGGGGGAGAGGTTAGGGATGCGGAGGAGGGGCTGCTGGTGATGGGGGGAGGGGCTGCTGGCACTGGACAGGGTGGGAGCAGGGCTGCTGGAGGGATAGAATTACAGGGGAGAGGGAAGGGAGGAAGGGGAAGAAAGAAGGTGATTTTGGTAATTTTATTTCCCATGTCTCTGTAAAAAAAAAATTAGTTACAATGTATGTTGTAATTTTTATTTATTTTTATATGAATTGAAATATTTGTGTGTTCACATTTTATTGCAATTATCACTCATGAATTCAAGTTCATATAAAATTTATAATAAAAATAAAAAAAGAGAGAGCAAAAGAATTTACACTGGTCAGACAAAATTTTGCTTGGAGTTAAAATTGGTTTATCTATACTTTACAATGATTAGCCCATTGAAATTCCTCTTAAGAAAGTCACTATTTTAAACCGTTGTGCCATGAATATAGAAGATTTTTACATAATGGAACACAGATAAAGGGTAGGATCCACCCTTAGTCTCACATCTGTGTCACATTTTGTGAAAATCATCTGTACACTTAAGAGTCACAAACAACCACATTCACAGGTGGGCTTTTTCTTCTCTAGTCAATTTAAGAAATTAAAATGAAAGCAAAAACAGTAAGGAAAAGACCTGATACCACCACCGCCAGCTGGTCCATTTGTGTACAAAGCTGTAAACTCTTTTGTGAATTGGACTGCATGTTCCTTAAGCTCAAATAGCCCATCCATCCGTAGCCTAATATCTTCACAAGACATCCGCAACGTGGTGCTGTTGTTAATGCCGGTTGCTTTAAGGCTATCCAGTCCAATTATATAAGAAATTATCCGGTCGTTAGTACCAGGGTACACTTCTTCCATCCATGATCTTACCTAATAAGATACGAAACAAATATCTGAGCTAAACATGATATAGGCATTACGCAAACTCTACTGATTAAATGGCCTATCGTCAAACAATCCTTAACCACCATGGATAATAGCACAAATATGCCAACATAGAAGCATAAGAACCTATACCACATTAGATGGAAAATTAACTTCTTTCTAAGCTTGTAAACAAATTATTGTAAAAAAAAATTTGAGAGAGAGAGATAACAAGTATTTGAGACCACCTTCAAAGGATAGCGTCATTATGTCCCTAAAACATTTGATGCCACACTTCTCTCTCAAATGTGTGATCCTCCACCATACATCCTTGAAAACCATGATAAAGATCCATTGTGAAAGTTACCCCAAACACATTCCTCACTCCAAAATCTTACCCTAACCAACTCTCTTCCAGACCCCTACTTGAAAACCTAAATCCTGTAGAAATCAATTAATTCTTGTCTAATGGATTCTAAAGTCCAACCTTATAAATACTCCTCACTTCCTTCAACCACCAATCTTCATCTTCACAGTCATACTTCCAATCTACAACCCCTCTCCACAAGTTCTCTCTCTCTCTCTCCATGGCAAACTACCAAAGCCATTAATGCAAAACACCTTTGTCATCATTGTTAGTGATCCAATCCCAATCCCACCTACATCTTTAGGTTTACGACTTATAGAGAATCACGATTAATTTATCACCACAAATTTAAACAATGATTAAATATCCATTGCCATAAAAAACTAGGAATAACATTAAGGCAATGAGATTATCTACCAGAAATTCAGCAGCTTCAGCACGTTTTACACATTGATATCCCCCATAAGATATCTCTCCCCAGCCTCTCCATCCACGGTCCTGGTACATTACCAATTAAAGAAATTCAATAAGCACAAACAGAAATAGGAGATTGGCTATAATGTTGAACATAATGCTCTCAGACAGAAATTAATATCTAGCAAAATTAATTAATTTAGAACAAAGGAACATAATCTCACCATCACTAAATAGATATTAAATTAATTAGTTTGGCATAAGCACTCAATGACAATATCAAATCACTTAATTAAATATCACAGGAACACAAACTGACTCTGAATAATCACCACAAATATGCTCTTTATCAGCGATTGCAATAATTAATAAACTAAGTGGGTATCTATGAAGCTAAATTAATAAATAAATAAATAAATAAAAAGGAAATGATGAGTGAGAGGGACACAGGTGAGAGGATAATGGTCCCATAGGCTTTTTACGTTGAAAATCCAGAGCAGAAACCAGTAACCAAAATGGTTCCCTGCCTTCTAAGGAGTTGACTAGAGTACAGGTGAAAGAAAACCTATAGGCCATGTTTGTTTGGGCGGACTAGATTAGCATTCCCATGACTAATAATCCTAGGATTACGAATCCGTTGGATTATGTATCCTATCTTAACTAATAGTCAAGTTTAAAATAATTAGTCCGTACTTCAATTGTTTAACCAAATATCGGATTAATAATTTTATTGGACTATTAGTCCAATCCTAAGCTCATGTCCACCCAAACAAACATGGCTATAAGGTATCAAAGTCCACTGTCACATTTGATAAACGAGTAATATTTTATATAGATAATGCATTTGCTCTATGTTATTACCAGTAATTTACTTAGGCCTCGTTTGGCAACCGAACTTTTTAGTCAAAAAGTTACTAAATTAGCTAAAAAGCCAACAACCCATACCAAAAAGTCAAAGATTCTCTTTTCTCTCTGCTTTTTGCACATTTTTTCGTAAAAAGCCAAAAAGTCATCCCAAACATACTAGTTTTTTTTAGCTCATATTTTAGCCAAATAGCCAAAAAGTTACTAAACTAGCCTGTTCCCAAACAAGGCCTTAGAATAGCAATCTTTTGCTCTCTGACATTTTACTTTCACAATTGCGCCAAATAAGAGTTCACTATTAGAGTACTCATTAAATAAACAGATTTAAGGCTAAACTAGAGTGGTTGAGTTAATTTTGAGGATTAAAAAAAGGGTCTGCCAAACTGCATAATACATTTGAGAATTCAACAGCTGCTACTCAGGGTAAAGTAAAAGCAAATTCTTACTAATCAAAAGAGAAATTTATAATAAATAAAATCATATAACCCAAGGGTAAGAAGAGTTGGCTAGCACCAAGCCTTCGAACGAGGCGTTCATGGATTCAAAACTGTCCTCTTTTAGGCCAACACCCTGCCTGGTATAAATACAGGGATGATTGCTTTGATGCATGTTTGTGGTACCTGACACGTATTGTTGGGTCCAAACAAAAAAAGAAAATCACATATAAGAAGCCAATGACAAGAAAGTTAATAGTCAAAAGAGGGCTCTAAAAGCACAAGGTGGAAACGAATTGAAATATGAAAAAGGCCAGGACTAAATGTTGGTCGGATGTTGCGAGGGGTGGACTAGGTACAGACCTAAATTTCAGTTTGATTACTCAAGCCTGGGTACTCATGCTTGACAGTTTTACCATTGCATCAACCAATGGTCCATGGAAGGGATAGAAACATATAACTAAAAAAAATTGTAAGAGTTCTTTGAACCTTATTCCCCATCACAAATTGCTCCAGCCTTATCCAAAAAATAAATAAATAGTTGAAGTAAAACTTGCTCCAGAATCCAGAACTAAGTAACAGAAATGCGGATTGGGAGCAGGAGAGAAAGTACAAAAACATCCTTTCTAAAAATAACTCAAGAACAGGAAAGCCTCTAGAGGTTAGAACGTATATATCTATGTTACTAGAAAACGCTAATACCCTAGCGAATTATGTATTGGTACGCACGTTCCGAAACATGGTACATTTCCATTCTAAAACAATAAATTTAGTATTCCAAAGCAATCCCAAAAGTTTTTTTCAATATATGTCCTTAAATGTTACCTTAGGAGGAAAAAATTCAAATATAACGAACTAAAATCTAATGTGAGTTAAGTTTTGAAAAGACAAAAAATCAAAAAATGGGTCATAATGCTCAAAGAAAATATTACATTTTATTGGATATCTAATAGTTAAAAAAAAAAAAATTAGACCATAAATTCTTAAGTATAATATATACAAGTCTACCTCTATCGTACCACATTTTAGAACATGTGGCGTACCACGTTCCCATTCTCGTTCCACGTACCGAAACAATCCATGTTCCAGGTAACATAGGTATATATACACAAATTTTAATTGATCAATATATGTTTATTTACTTGTACTGTTTTATGCACCAATGCCTTGCCTTGTAAAAATGTAAATATAATTGCTGCTAACATGAAAAATATATTGTTGAAGCACTAAATGAAAAATACCAAGCAAGTGTCATGTAAATTGAAAGTTAGCCTAATGGTGGAAGGTTAGTACACCTTTTCTCAGGTTTCAAGTTCGATTCTCGGTGAGGCTGCTTTTTTACCCATTTATGTTAAAAAGGCTTACTATGAATATAACAGCAGTACATACACATTGAATTCGGTGTGTGTTAGCCCAATAAAAGTGTGAATATGGCACTCAGAGATTGGTTAGGATTGAATTCAATATAAATAAATACGGATCTGACCCGTTTCTTCACCCAATTCGCTAATTTGTGTGCACTAGAGTGCAATCTGGTCCCTTATTACGCTGATTAGGTGACCTAGCTCCAAAATAATTAAAAGAATATTTAAATGAAGAATAGTTGAGAGTACATTCAGATGAAACAAACATAAAATTTCATGATAGCCCATCTCCCACCAATCTTTCTCATTCAAATGTACAGTTGCAGTGTCATTCATCTACGACAATCATGATAAATCTATGCTCTAACAACGTGAAACACATCCCAATATAATAAATCTATGCAGATGAATTTTTGGTTCGTACACATTCTAATTAAAAAGCAGTCCTGGTTATAAAATAATGCACATTGAGTTAGCCAGACAATTGAAACATTTGCACCATGAAAATGAACATGCGTGTTGGAATATTGGACCACGCAATTAATTGAAAAGAAAACATGAGTACATGGTAACATTCTAAGAGACAAATTTCAGCTGTACTTATGTGCCACTATGCCAACCGGAAAGCATTAGTGGCGAACAGAGAGAAAGAAAGCCAGGAGTGGGGAGAGATGGACATGGAATTGTCCCTTCAATTCTGATTCATGTCTCACTGAAAAATGACATAAATTACCTTTGGAACCAACAGCAACAGTTTATCAGGTACTAGTGAAGCAGATGGCTTTGCTCCAGAACAAAGAATTTTACTGCTTGATAACAGTTGAAATGTAACGTCTTGAAAATCTACTATCTGCTTGAAGTGGAAATTTTTTGAAATTAGTTATGTTTTTTTCTTTCTTTTTGCCTCCAAAAATATCAAGTGGTTTAAGCAGGGAGCATGAATATGCAGAGATAACTCACCACATCTGGGGTAATGTAAGCGCCTGGATCCCCAACCTCATAAAGGAGTTGTTCAGCACAAGTGCTAAAATTTAAAGCCCCACCACTGCCATCTGCCTTTGCTACACATACTTTCCCATCAAAACTCACTTCAGCATAAGGAAGGGACAAATCAAGGAGACATGGGAAAGATATGTCTCGGTATTTATCTCCTACAGTAGAACAAGTATGACAATATGTTCAACAACATACCATGATCTGTCCATAAGAATTTAAGAAAAGTAAAGAAAAAGTTGCACTTCTACCGGGACTTTTATTTCCACACACACAACTTTCTCTCAGTTCACACACCATTTTTCTTTCAGAAGCTGACTTCTGAAGAAACCTAATGGTTTGGAAATCAACTTCCAACGAAACCCAATGGTTCGGAAATCAACTTCCGAACCAAAGATATAGCCAAATCATAAGATCTTGCTCAGAAGTTGATTTCTGAACCATGCAATTTTGTTCATAGGTTGATATCCGAACCAAAAAAAAGTTTGTGAATTGAGATAATGTGGTTGCGGAAATAGAAGAACCCACGTCTATCTTTACAGGCACCCAGTTATACCACTATAAAGTTCAGAAAAAACTAAGATAAAGGCCCACCTGGATGCATAAAATATCCTCCTGTAAGTTGACAACCACATTCTAGCAGGTGGCCAGCCAAAGACCCTTGGGCTAGCAAGTCAAACTCATCCCAGTCCCAACCTAGCTCGTAGACCTAATCATAGGACAATGAGATGATTGAATTTTTTTTCCTGAATTGAAGTAATGTTGAAACAAAATGGATATAATTCTAGTCTTGAATAAGTTCAAAAATATTGTGAAGGATCAAAATTTGTTCCCAACACTGAAGCTTGTAATACAGCAAGTTTTGGAGATAAACTAGAGACATCTTGTAATCCTCGTATTTTTTGGATAGTGGATGGATTATCCAGATGTGCCTAATGTTAACTTCAACTCAAAAGCATACTTGATGTCACGCATGTATGTTAATTGCTGGTAAAACAAAATATGTAGATCCCAAAAGCATACACATGTGCACATATATATAAATAACATGCAAGAAACAGCAGCATAAGCATGGCAGGAAAATACCAATTAACCAACAAAATTTAGAGGAATGCATCAACGTAACAAAGAACTCTCACAAATAAAAAGCACATAGATTTTTGGCAAGAAAAGAAAAGTATGAAGAGAAAAAATAAAACTTCATACCATTGGAGCTAAGAATAAGGAAGCATCAGCCACCCGAGATGTAATAACAACATTTGGCTTGTACTTCTCCAAACATGTGACAATGGGAGAAGCTCCCAGATAAGTGCTAATCTGCTGCATATATTAGACAAAAGACAAGCCCAACTTTTTATAGAAAAAAGGGGAAAGGAAAGGGTGGGAGAAATTAACTGCTCCCACTATACAGGATGCCCATGAAATGTGATGGCAGCACAGAAAAGGAAAGGAATAATACTCAAAGGTGTAGGTAAATGCAGATATTAAGACTGAAACCACATAAATGAAAAGTGAACCTAATAGTAGCAAATTCTTACACCATCCTTGACACCGTCTCTTATGCAAGGATCCAGAGCTGAATATGTGAATCAAATGGAGATGATTGTGAGGTAAGCAAAATACTCTACCTTCAAAAAAGAAAAGGCACAAAATATCCAAATGAAAAGCATTGGCCTGTTTGGTATCGTTTTCTTTATCACGTTTTTGAAAACAAAACAACGAGAAGTTCGAAAACACTCCCCCTTTTTGTGTGAAAACAAGTTTCGGAAATTCAAAATTTAAGTTAAAAGTGTTTCCTAAAACATTGAGTATTTCGAAAGAATATCCCGTAAACAATTTCTCAAACAGTTTTCCATGTCAGATTCTTTTTTCCTAATAACTGAAACCAAAAAATGAAAACGATTCCAAACGTGTGATTAGCGACCTTGATTGAATAAAAATTATGCAACTCAATGGGAGATGGATATCTGTGAATACCTGTTTTTGTGATAGCGAATTGATGGGCCACACCAACAGTAATGCTAATACCTAGGCTGCTTGCTATTTGTAAAACTTTTTCCTGAGCACCAAGCGAGTTCACTTCCAAGGAAAAAAAAAGAAATATCCATACTTATTTAGACAAGCAAAAGGGCGTGTTAACAGCAGATCACCAATTAAAAGCATTAAGCAACTTTTAAATTCCCAGCTTACTTGCACCCATGTTGGTAATTATGCAAGTTCCTTTCTCTACAGCCAAAGGCAAGAGCAAACGCATCCACTCTGCAACTGCAAAACCATTAAAAGTATCAGAAAACAACCCAAAGATTAATGCATGCATTAAACGTGGAAGAAGTTAAAATTTATGTCTATGGTATATCGACATGTTCCACTCATTTCAAAAGCTAAGAGAATAGAAGAAGCATTGAAGACAACTCACATCGAAAAGTGGTTGCGGTGGCACAGTTACGGTTGTGGTTACGGAGTGTAAAGGACGTAGCGTAACGGTTGTAGTAACCGAAACCATGAGTTTTTTTATTTTTAGCACAATTTGAAAAAAACTTACCAATATGCATTTTTTTTTTCAGAATCACATTTATTGGGATTTAAAATAGATTTTGATCAATTTTTGTTAATTTTTAAGTATGATCCAATATATTTTATATTTTCAAATCACTACAAAATGAGTTTTTACATTTTATTTCAATAGTAAATGACTTTAAGAATAATTGATTTTAAATATCTACAAATTATTTTTGACCAATACCTAAACTTACTAAATAAAAAATATTCATAATTATTAAATGAAATGATTATAAAAATAAAAATTGTGCCATAAATAAAATTTGTGTCATAAACAAAAATTATTTTTGAGGCATTTTTTAGAGAACACTTTATAGTAACCAAATAAAATTATTTACAATTAAGTATTTGTTAAAACCTACCATCACCTACTCCACCTACTACACCTACCACCACCTACTACCACCTACTACACACCTACCACTACCACCTACTACCGCCTACTCCACTACATCTCCTATATAAGGAGCCCCTCACCATTTGTAATTTATAACATACATCAATCAATAATACATCAATTTTAACATGGTATCAGAGCAGGTTTAGAACCTAATATTTTCGCTTCCCCGGCGGGCGGCAACCTCACCTTAGCTGCCCGCCGGACCTCAACCTATTCCGCTTATTTTCTACACATACCTTCCCATCACTGCCTAAATCCTCTCTCTTGAGGCCAATGTGAATTCCTCTTCTTCATAATCTGCACTTACTGTGGCATCTTTTCCTGAGGCAAACTCTGCAACCCAACACTCAGTCTATGCTTCTCTTCCATGCTCATTTGCCTCTTGTTAGGATCCTTCGCCTTCGGCTTTGGTTGCTTCCCCGGGTTCGCTCTCACCACTGCCGGCTTCACAGGAGGTGCTTGCACCGGTGATGGAGTCGGCACAGTTGGCGATTGCAACGATTGCGGGTTTGATGATGATGTTGGGGGTTGGAATGCGACTCCATGAGCTCCCCTGTAATTCATCACTTAGAACAACACGTTGCTTTTGATCACCCCATGATGCCGCTGCCCTACACTTTCACTTGTGGTTGGAGTAACCCGCTTGAATTTTCCTTGGCAAAGTGAATACGCATGAGCAGATCTGCACTGTGCTTTTGCTGGAAACAATTGTTGCGAAAAGTGTCGCGATCGATCTCCGAGTGCTCCTCGAGGGATCTGAGTTTGGGGATTGACCAGATTTGCTCTCTCTCCCTCTCGGAAAACACTGGCCATCGTCAACACCCATCTCTGCACAGCCACCAGCCTATTGATATGGCTCTCTCTGGACATGCTCGTTTACAAGAAAAGCTCTGTCATTGGTGCTATCCAAGGCATGATCACTGGGCTTGTCTGCATCACTCCTGTTCCCCACTCAACTTTCTTTTCCTTTTTTTATATTTATTTTAATCCATCTTTTTTAAAAGAAAACGAAACACAAGGTTTGTCCACCCACTCTTCTTTTATTTAAACATAAAACTCTCTCTCTATCTCTCACAGAGCTTCATACACACACACCCATTCTTCTTCTATTTATTTAATCACACCCACCAAGTTTGTTTCACTCTCATTATCACATCCATATACACCCTTATCATCATGTTCCCAACTTTCTTTATTTTATATATATATATATATATTTTCTAACCAATTGGTCAATTTGTTGACTACAAACATTTCACTTCGGTAGAAATTGTAGAACTTTAATATTTCCTTTGTGTATGTAAATTGTATTTCTCTTATATTTTTTTTGAATTTTTTTTGAGTTTTTATTTATTTATTTTATAAACAATAAATAAATATTTTAAAAATCAAACGGTGAGTAAACCGAAAAAGAAATTGAGTATACAGATCATTAGTTCAATCATCGGGTCGAAGCGGTCGAACAATGATATCATAATTAATTTTATATAATTTAAAAATATAATTATAAATTATAAATAAATAAAAATATATATAAGTATTGAAATAATAAAAAAAATGTTACATAGTATTTACTAATAATATTTAATAAAGTCATAATTGATAATAAAAAAAAAATGCTAGGGACCCCATTACTCAAAAAAAGAAAAAAAAAGTCAATAGTTTTAAAGAAATTAAAAAAATTTAATATTCCCTCCAAACAAATTGATTGAATGCTAAATTTAATTTTGGAAACAAAATGAAATTTTCAACTCTCCCTTCAATCAAATATGATTCAAACAATTTGATTGAATCCCACATTGAATTTTTAGATTCTCTTTGAACAATCTCTTCCTATAAATATGAATAGACTTTCATAATTTCTTTATGTTTCTAATGAGACTCTTCTTCATGAGAGAGGAGACTCTTAAAATAAGAGTTTTTAGTCAAAAATTTGATATATATATATATACACATATATAAATATATAAGAAAGGAAGAAAAGAAGAAGAAATGGAAAAAAAAAATTCAACTGCCAGGTCGGTCGGCAATTAGGATCGATTCGCTGATTTTATCGGTTGAACCACTGGTTTTCTTGGTTCCAACAAGGCCAGTTTTTGGCCTAGGCCAATTTCTGTGGATCATTCGGACCGGAACTAGGTTTGGTCATCGGTTCTACCGGTTGAACTGACCGGTTTGGCCTGTTTTTTTAAACATTGTGATAAATTATAATAAACAAAGATATACTATTATTTACTAGTATTGTGATTTATCAGTCTTTATTGCAATATGATACACTAATAAACAAAGTTGCTCCTTATTGTCTAGTTTATTTGTTTTTTTTTTCTTTTTTTGCCAATCTATTAGAGATAATTTACAAATATCATGAAGACTTGAACATTTAATCGTGTTAAAAATTCCAACAACAAATTACCAATTTACCATACTTGATGCAATGAGTTTCCTGGACCGGAATGCAAACGACTCGATCAAGGACTATAACCCAAACAGATTTTGTTTTTGTTATCTATTTCGAATGAATATTGATTTGTGGTCCATTAATATTGTTCACAAAACCAATGTAATTAGGTTCATTTCACTGTAATAGCCATGAAGAATATCTAGGAAGAAAAAAAAAAAAAATCAATTCTATAATCCACATCCAACATTGAAGCAACAGTCTTGCAACATTATTCTCAAGCTATAGGTAGCTTTTCAAACAACTTAAAAAGAAAAAACAAAATAAAACAAAACAAAACAAAAATTCACACACCTTCAAATACATAACAGAGGAACAGATAATAAAAAAAGTGACTCAACGACAATAACAAATTTTGGTTTAAGCATAGATATTTGGGTTTGCGATCAGGTATTCTTCAACAACCTTGAACATCCCCATGGCCTTGTCTTTTCCACCTGCCATTTCCTCTTCGGTGAGTTCAATGTCGCCTTTGGCGTGATAGTAGCTTGTGCTTGTCACCTTACTCCCGCCATCAATAGTCTCAAACTTGACCTCATAAGAGAGAGATTCAAGCTTGCCGCTCAATGCATCACCTTCAATCAAAGTGTACTTGCACTCATAGTTCTCCACATCAAGTAAATCGATCTTGTGCTTCAAGCACGTCATGTGACTCCCTTCATGGAAGTTGGTTTGGCTATTCTCTCTCTACCCCTCTAACGTGCGCCACTCCGGTGCCGGACTCCGTCGCGCGCTACCACACTCACGCCGTGGGTCCCAACCAGTGCTGCTCCGCCGCCGTCCACCACATCGCCGCTCCCGTCTCCACCGTCTGGTCCGTCGTCCGCCGCTTCGACAACCCACAAGCGTACAAGCACTTCGTCAAGAGCTGCCACCTCATCGACGGCAACGGCAACGTCGGCACCGTCCGGGAGGTCCACGTCATCTCCGGCCTCCCCGCCATGTCCTCCAACGGGAGGAGACCGTTGTAGCAACTCCAGAGACAGTTCTATACTCACCAGCAGAGGTCCAGCAACTCCAGAGACAGTTCTATACTCCATGCCGATCTCGGGCGTTCCCTCCTCCATGTCGAAATTGTTTTTCACCGCACCCATTGATGATCAATGTTTCTCTCTCTACCTTCTCTCTCTGTTTCTCTCATTGATGGTCTAACCTTTTATTTTTTTATTTATTATTATTATATCACCTAATCCACGGCACTCACAACCCACACTCACACAGACACACATGCACTTTCTGATGCAAAATTTTTTTTTTTTAATCACCCCACTCCCTCTCTCTCTCCCCCAGAATCACTTTAATCATCTCCCTCATTTGCCTTACTTTATTCCCCCATTCATACATTTTTTTATTATTCTTCTTTTTATTCTTCTTATTATTCTTTGCACCCAAAACCAAACTCGTTTTATTCCTTCCACTGGCTTCCCACACTTCATTTTCTTTATTTTTATTATTATTATTTTCCAAACACACAAAAAAAAAAAAAAAAAAAAAAATTCCAAACACACACACAAAAAAAAAAAAAATACAGATTTGCACAACAACTTTGTTTTATTTATATTAAGGATCCACCCTGATCACAGTTCTCCACACAAAACAAAAAAACAAACAAAAACAAAAACAAAAAAAAAAACATAAAACAAAAAAACAAAAAAAAAACAAAAAAACAGCAAATCCAACCCCACAACCACAACAGTTTTGTTTTCTTTTCTGCAGACGGCCACCCACCGACCTCACTTCCACTACTCTGTCGCCGGTCTCTTCTTTTTGCCTCCGTGCTGGGCGGCCCTTGCCGGTGTTGCCTCCGTGTTTCCCACTCCACTGGGCATGATCACTACTCCCTGCTCCTCCACTGCAGCATATGGCGGCCCTCCAAATCGGATCATCACGGTGGCCTTCCGTTTCAGCTCCTTGTTTTCCGCCTTTAGCACACTTATCTCTGCTCGCGCATCCTTATACATGCGTTGGAGCAGAGCCAGCTGGGAGTTTAACTGTTGCACCTCATCAATGGGATGCTAAAATTTCAAAATCAAATCTGTGTACCTAATATTCTGAAACTTAAAAGGAAGATATTAAAGTATACTGATTGGCCTCAATATCAGTTTGCACCGCCATTTTTTGCTCCACCGACCGCATCGGAAGGTTTAACGGAGCAAAACCAGAGGCGCTTGGTTGAGGTTTACTGGCCACCGCACCAGTTATCTCTCTTGTTGACTCGTTGAGGTCGGGAAAGAGAGTGAGCAGACCACGGGACAAAGAGACCATATTCTGGGTAGCTGAACGGGAAGACGAGGCCATGTTCTTGGTTGCTGAGTGTTTCAGCCAAGCAGTGATTTCCGACTGGTACTTTCAGAGAAGGATTGGTTACAGAGTGTTTACAGAGTATTTCAGAATGCAAATGTTCGGCGGTTTCAGACTGGTTTGCACAGCCTCTGCCTCAACCTTGGTTAAATAGCCAAGGCAGACACGCGCATCATGCGTCGCTCGGCGCTCGACGACAACATGGGCGCTCCTTTTTATGGCACGCCTTTTGATGGCACGCCTTTTTATAGATTGGGCACGCCTTTTGATGGCAAGCCTTTTGAGGGTGCGACTTTTTAGGGGTCCGACAAGACTCTGTAAACTGTCCCGACATTGATTCCGGTTAGTTTCTACAAGGGTCCAGCAAGACTCCGTAAACTGTCACAACATTGTCTGTTACAACGGTCCGACATGACCCCATAAACTGTCTTCTACATCGGTCCAACACGAGCCAGTGTCTTCTACATCGGTCTGCCATAACCATACAGTCTTCTATAACGGTCTGACACGACCATACAGTGTCTCCTATCCATTTTTTATTTTTCAGATTATTTTCTTGTTTTGTTACTCTCTCCAAACTCAAGTTGGTTAGTTCCTATCCCCCTTGAGTTTGCGGGGGGCTGTTAAAACCTACCATCACCTACTCCACCTACTACACCTACCACCACCTACTACCACCTACTACACACCTACCACTACCACCTACTACCACCTACTCCACTACATCTCCTATATAAGGAGCCCCTCACCATTTGTAATTTATAACATACATCAATCAATAATACATCAATTTTAACAGTATTAAATGAAATAATTATAAAAATAAAAATTGTTCCATAAACAAAAATTATTTTTGAGCTACTAGTTTTATTATTTTTTTTAAAGACATTTTTTAGACAATAGATTACAATAACAAAATAAAAATATTTTCAATTAAATATTAAATAAAATGATTATAAAAATAAATACAACCACTATTTATATAGTTTTTATTTGGGCAAATTACAAACACTCCCTTGAGGTTTGGTGAAAATACAGATTCCCCCCTGAGGTTTGAGAAATTACATCCCGCCCCTTGAGGTTTATATTTTCATAACAAATTACCCCCTGAGGTTTTTATTTTCATACAGATTCCCCCTTAATTTTTCCTAATTTGTTATGAAAATTTGACTCTCAGGGGGTAATTTGTAATTTCTCAAACCTCAGGGGGGAATTTGTATTTTTACCAAATCTCGAGGGGGTGTTTGTAATTTGCCCTTTTTATTTTACAAGCTAATGTAATGAAATAAAAATTATAAAGAAAAAAATTCATATAAGATTTTTTTCTTTGAGATTGGATCACTTGAGTATTTATTCTTTTTTTGTAAACTTTTGGTTTTTTTTTTTTTTTTTTTGAAAAAATGAAGCTATTCAGAATATTGTAAAAAGGTGTAACGGTGTGTAACGGGCCGTTACGGCCGTTACGGTACTACTACAACCGCTACATAACACCAAAACGGCTGTTACTCATATGAATTTCCGTCACACCGCTATAGCGGCCATAACGGGTGGCGGTAACTACCACAACCGTTACGTAACCATTTTGCGACCGCTTTTAAAACCTTGCATATAACTATAAAATATGCCCATATACTACAGCTGAAGTGGCACCTGTTTGGTATATGCTGTTAGAAAGAGTATGTATATGTTTAGCTGAAATGTTTTTTTTCAATGTTTTCTAAACTATATGAAGCCAATAAGCAAACAGCAAATCTATGGGTATTTGATCCCAGACACCAAAAATGACTTCTTGTATCAAAATGAATCCAATGAACCCATCATTTACCTGACGTAAAGTAAAAACCAAACCTTCAAGGAAACTAATATCAAGTATTGCTACGGAGAGGAAGCATATATATAAATATTCAGACTAAGAATTTAAAAGTCAGAGGATGTCTTGACATAAACTAGTTTCCACTTGGAAGATCTATAAATTTAACCAGTTTGGTTCTTTCGGAAATCAGACAATATATGCATATGTACGAGCAATGCTTTAATGAAATAAAATGAAAATTGAGTAATGGAAACAACATACTACGGGGATCATAACCCTCGCCACCAGCCTCCTCTGCATGGTACAGATCTGCAAGGGTGCGTTCCGCCAGGCATTCAAGGACAATATAGTTCAAGTCAACTCTCTGAAGTAATTTGAGAGCTGCCAATGGCCTATCACCCCCAAACCCAGCTCCACAACCAATGTGAACTTTTTCCCTTCGCATTTGCGGATTTGCCCTCTGAAATCAGTACAATTGTATTCGGTTATTTCTTCTTCTTCTTTTCAGTAGCATATGTAGTTTATAAAAATAAAAAACTAAACCCTAACCTGCCTTAATGGATAACTGCTGATATCGAGATCATCATCGGATTCTTCCGAATTCTGAAATAAAGCATCAGATATCAGGAAATAGAAGTAACCATATTAGTGTCAATCAATTAATGATATGTACACAAAATGTTATGCTAAGGAAGACAAGAAATATGTAAACACTAGACATGTCATGTACCCTTCAAAATTCAAACAAAGAAATATGTCCATGTTGTTGGTGAGAATGTGTTTCACCATGTACATAGCATTGAAAATTAATTTTTTTTATTTCCCCAAATAGCTGATATTGGAAAGGAATGTTATTGTAGTACGGGCATCACATAAAATAAGTAATGTCGGTTACCCCCGCAATATATGAAGCAAGTACTTCGACAAACATATCTTACCAGATACTGGTACTCCGTATGGTATTTCTGCATACATATTAGGTACACAAAACATGTACCCAAATTTTTTCCGCCTAATTTTTGTCGTACCTAGGCTAGTATATACCCAAACCATACCTCAAAAAAAAAAATTTATTTATGTTTAGCATGATTAAGTTATGGTCTATAAGTTATTTAATATAATGACATCTACTTTTAGTTTATACATTTACTTTTGACATTAAATGTAAATTGTAAGTCGGATCTTAACAAACTAAACCATTTAACTAATTTTTGAATTACTCAACTCCAAATTAAAAAAATATATTTTTATTTTTTTTACAAACATATCCAGACACACCCATACCTTAGTTTTTAAAGATTTTACCATATAGACATACCCATTTCGTATCAATACCAATACCCGTACTTCTAAATTATTTTTTCAACAGCAATGTGTACGCACCAACCCATAATGGATAATATATCATTAAATGCTATTATATAGTTTGTATGAGTTTAATTGTTTGTAACTGAAAACCAATCAGTTAACTTGTCTTGCCTCTGGAAAAGGGGAAAAAAAACTACCCTATATAGAAAGCCCAACTTTCTTTAAGTAGAAACTTCAGCTCCAGTGGACAATCCATTAATCCGAGAACCATACTGAGGGTATTATTAGGCTTAGACTTTCGGAAGTGCTGATACTGCCTCTCCTATCGCGGGTAAACTTTAACTTGATTTTAGGAGTGATTCGGCTTTATGATGACGGTTTCTGGAATAGTTTCCGGTGCAAAAAGAAATTCATACAATATATATATATATATATGAGTAATTCAAAGGAAAAATAGAAATATTTGATAGGATTCAAAAGCAGAACGGTTCTCTTCCAGTGACCAGATGGGAACTACTACTACTACTGCTGCTGTATTCCTTCCTAAGGTCAGGAATGGCGGGATGAAGAACTGAGAACTCAAAGCAATACTTACTTAAAAGACAAATAGTTAAATAAGGTTATTTGCTTAACACTTATAGGAGGAACCTTTCATTTGCTTCAATCTGATCACGTTAGAAGACGGATATACATAACTGATATAGACCATCTATGCATACTTTTGTGGTAATTTTACAAAGAGATTTCCAACTAGTATATATTCTTCTCAAAAAAAAAAAAAAAAATCGAAAACAAAAAATAGAGTGAATATGTTGCAGCTAATTGATAAGCAATCAACCAATTAAACAACGTTTATTAACTATGCAATTTCATAGTCTATCTTCACATATTCGTCTGTGTTTGTGCATATATATATGTATATGCATAGAATAATAGAAACAATCACACACACTGAAATCGAGCGAATCGTGAATTAATAAGAGAGAAATGAGATTGAATTTGAAATTTTACAGTAGAGGCTGCTGTTGAAGAGGTTGGTTCCTCCTCAACTATACTGTTTTCCGATGATCCTGTTGAAGAATTCGGTCCTTCATCCATACTCTGAAGCCCTCTTCTCTCTCTCTCTCTCTCTCTCTCTCTTCTCACCCTCTCTACAATCTCTACTACGTAACCCTCTTTGACGGGGACGGCCATGGTCAGGGAGGCTGGTATATAAGCATGAACAAAATGACCGTATTGACCTCCATCAAAAGCACCCTTTAAACGTTAATTTATGTCTAAAATTATATAGTAAATAACACATTTACAGTAATATGACATAAAAATATTTTATTACACATAATCTCTATATTTAATAAAAACACAAAATGTAATATAATAATATTTTTTTTATGTCATCTGACATTTGACGTGACATTTTTTATTTAAATTTGAACATAAGTTAATTTAAAAGTAAATTGAAAAAAAATTAAAACATGAAAGATTAAAGTAAAAAATGGCCAAGTATAAATGAGACAAAATGTAATTTACTTTTCTCTTTCTCACCATTTTTAAGAGAGGGTGAATATAGTTTGAATTAGTTTGATTTAAAAATAAATTAAATATGAAATCATTACTTATAGTTTCATGAATTTCAAAGTCAAATTAAATTATAGAAATCTTAAAACCAAACTAAGGCATAGTTTGGGAAGTTGGTTTTGGTGGGTTAGGGGCTAAAATAGCCACAAAAAATAAAAATAGGCTATTTTAGTCACAAAAAACAAAACATCAAATCCAACCCATAATCATTACACTCATTTCTCACAAAAAAAGTCAAAAAAACCCAAAAGCCATTTCCAAACCAGGTTTTTTAGCCCCAGGCTAAAATAGTCAAAAAGCCAACCCACTTCCCAAACAGAGGCTAAATTGAACCAATGCGGTTCAAATCGATTTTGAATTATGATTTGTAAAAACTTTGACATCATTCACAATAATAAAATATAGTTTACAATCTGTACGGGGGGAGATATTTGTCGTTGTCCGTACTCCTTACGTCCAAGTTCCGTGTCTATCCGATCAACCTGAAACACAACGGCGGTGAGCTACCCGGCGATGTGTTGCCGGAAAACCCCTCCAACACTCAAGTTAACACACACTCTGAGAGAGAGAGAGAGAAGGAAGCTCAATCAATGTTAAGTTTCTCTCACAAAAATGATGTTCCATCCTCAGCATAGGGGGCACAGTCACGTTTATATACATTATGCGCTCACCTCTGCGTCCATTTACCCTTTGACGCGTGGACTTGCTCTCCTATCATGCTCTCCCACGTGTCAACGCAAATTCAGCTAAGCACCACCTAATCAAACCGCCAAGCGGCATTGGTGCGAATGGACAGCCTGGCGGCACTAACACAGCCTCCTTCGATCGTGTTACTTAACGAGACAAACAGTGCTCCTAGCCGAGATCTATTATGACCGAGCTCAGTTGCCCTCTGTTACGACCGAGCTCCTACTCGGTTGGGCCGGTCTAAGGAGGACCTTACTCGCCGAACTAAACGAGCGAACAATAGAAACCGGGCTAACAGAGAATCATCTCGGCAAACGGGTCTAGATTTCAACCGATCAAACTCGCTCTGGAACGGCCCAGCCCAGCTTGGCCCAACACACACTCGGACCACTTTCAACCCGTCCATTACCACGGCCCAAAGCCAGATTGTAAAATCTCCCTCTCACAATCTAAGAATAGTTTATACTAATCCTAGCACTATACAATAACATGATTACAAAAGTATAGGCTTACAACTTATGTGTATATATTTTAAATTAATATGATAGTTGAGTATTTACCATACGTAATAAAAAGATAATAAATTTATATATAAATATAGAGCCACTCCTATTTATCTATACATCTACAGGTTCATTATCCATTTTATTTATCTGTCAAAGTGTCATCTATCTATCTACATATATATTCACGTGTCATTCATTTACTTGTTTTTGAGCCACATATCTGTTTATTTGTCTATATCACCATCAATTGTTATTGTCGATGACTTTTTCTACAATGATCTAGCAATAGTTGGATAAAAATGAAAAGGAAAAAGAGTTATTCACAATAATAATTTATCATTTTAACTAAACAATTTCATGAATTATGTTTTTTTTTTTAAAAATTTAAATCTTTGAGCCAGATGTCATATCTCCACATGAATTAATATATTATCAATTATAACTTTAAATGTTAATTTATATGACACAAGGATATATGACACAAGTTAATATAATAAACTTATACAAATTCAATTAGTATGATTAAGGTTGTAAAGATTACATTTATTGACCAATTCCAAATTCGATTTAAAAGTAATTTATTCATTCACTTCATCAACGTATGTTGTTTGGGATATATATATACTTTTTAAACTTTTTATGAAAAAAATATAATGTGACATAGAAGTAATATGACTCAAAGAAAATAAAAAGATAAAAAAAAAATATATACTAAAATAGTGTATCCCAGACAATCCCATATTTTTATTAAGTTTTGGCCTTAATTGGTACACCTTTGACACCTATAACTTTATATTTTATAAAAAATTTCATGATCATATCAAAACATCGCTATAAAAGTAATTTAAAAATTATTGATTATTAGGTCATTAGCCCAATCGGAACCCAAATCCCTTTGTGGAGTTGAATTTTTAATTCAAAAAATTTTATAAATAATCATATTACTCTCTTCACTTTTTATATATATACTTTTTTAAAAATAAGCGAAAATAATGAATTTTAAAACGGATTTATAAAAATGCAAAAAAGGATATCCTAGTAAATTAGCTGACCTTGTGAGGGGTATTATGGTACATTCACTAGAATCCCAGTTCACACTCCAGAAAGGTACAACTGTTTGATCATCGCTGTTTCAGAGAAGAGAGAGAGTGTGTAAGAACAGAGAGTAGAGAGAGAGGGGGTAGAGATGGTGACATCGCCGGTGGTGAACACGTACCCTCTCTCGAGCTACACCTTCGGGACGAAGGAACCGAAGATGGAGAAAGACACTTCAGTCGCAGATCGCCTCGCTCGTATGAAACTCAAGTACGTATTACTCATTCAACTTTCATTTCGAACTCTAGACCCATAAAATTCCCCTGAATCACTCCGTTTGGTTGCCGAGAAACTTTAGTAATAGAAAATTACTTCCAAAATGGAGCCTCAGGAGAAATGAATTCATTTCATTTTCGGTTTTCATGCAGTTAAAAAGAAATTAAAGTAAGTCTTCTTTTAAATATCAAATGAAGTTAGGGTTTAATATTATTATTTTGTGCAAACAGTTCGGTAGAACTCAACTTGAAGAGGTTGTGATCCTGGATCGTAGCCTATAGTAATTAACACCTTAGTGAATTACTCAAATGGATAAACTCAGAATTTGAGTAGAAGCTTCACTAATGACTGTGTGGTAAATTTGATATCCTACAAAATAGCCTTGAAAATTTTGAATAAACAATTGAGGCTTTTGATTTGGATGAAAATTTGAGTAAAACTCAATTTGCTATGAGTTGGTTTGTGTTTTGAGTGATTTTTACCCAAATTCTAGTTTGATATAGATTTGTTATGAGTTTGGATCAAAGAAGTGGTTCGTATTTTGAGTGATTTTTGCCCAAATTTTAGTTTGATATAGGTTTGAGTCAAGTGTTTTGAGTGATTTTTACCCTAATTTAAGTTCAATTTAATTTTGATGTCAGTTTGGTTGGCATTTTGAGTGATTTTTGCCTAAATTTTAGTTTGATATAGGGTTGAGTGTTTTGAGTGATTTTGACCTTAATTTAAGTTTGATGTAAGTTTGAGTCAAGGAGAAACCCTTAGCAGGTATGTTTATCCAGTCCATAGGCTGTCCTTTGGGTAAACCGCAAAGCCACAACCAATCTGATCTTATACTCAACGTGGTACCAAATGATACAACCCCCTTGCTTATAATTCACCATTGAAAATCGGTTTACAAGAGTAGGTGCCCAAGAGGCTTATATTCACATGGCCGAACCCACTGTTAACCAATGGGGGATTGATAGTATATGAGAATGAGATATATGAACTATTTTAGTAAGATGTGACGGAACCGGGAAATGTGTATTGGGCACTTTGGAAATGGCTCATTTGGAAACTAGATAATTAGGTGTATCCTATTAATTTCCTTTTTCAGTTTTTATATGATTGAGCACTTTGGAAATAGCTTGTTTGGAAACTAGATAATTAGGTGTATTTGTATGTAAATGGAACAACTTCAAAGCCCATTAATTTAAATTTCAGTTTTTAAATGTTTCTATCTTTTAAAATATAGAATTTCCTAATCAACAATAGGGAAATTCAAAACCTGTTCCATTGGGTGTCTAAACAAATGTTGAATCAACTCATTTACAAAATTGCAGATTTTGAATTAGCTAATTCAACTTGCGCAAACAAACGGACACTTAATCAATATCACTACAAAATTGATTACCAGTTTTGGTAGTTTGATTAATTTCTCTCTGGTTATTGCATGGTGAACTAACTACATCTTTTGGTCAATCTACAGCTATTTGAAAGAAGGCATGAGGACCAGCGTTGAAGCAATCCTACTGGTCAGTGCACTGCATTCAAATCTTAACTTTAATGCCACCTTCTGTTTTATATACATATGAGAATCAAGAAAAAATAATTTTCTTTGGTCAAGTTAATACATGTTGTGTTTCAATACAAGAAAAATTCCAGCTGAATGGGCAGCATGGCGATATGGCATGGACTGATGAACTTTTTTTGAGTTGATTTGTCTTCAACTACATATTATGGATATGTTACGCACGTTAAATGTATGTATGCTTATTTTGGAGAAATTATAATGAATCCTGATTTAAGCTAAGACAACTCTTGCATTTTACGATGTGATTTAGATATTTGTTAGTTTCAAATGTAAACCGAGCCAATCAATTATCAGTTATCACCAATACCACCAAGCATCCTTGTCAGTTATAAGTTAGGGTTTAGAGATTAGTGTACTTATAAGTACCTTGATTTTGCTCTCAATGCTTGGTTTGTGCAAGTGCAAGAGCATAACCATCCTCACATTCTTCTTTTGCAAATTGGAAACACCTTTTGCAAGCTTCCTGGTGGCCGTTTGAAGCCTGGAGAAAATGGTATATAATAAGTTAGGGTTTAGAGTTTAGTGTACTTATAAGTTCCTTGATTTCGCTCTCAATGCTTGGTTTGTGCAGGTGCAAGAGCATAACCATCCTCACATTCTTCTTTTGCAAATTGGAAACACCTTTTGCAAGCTTCCTGGTGGCCGTTTGAAGCCTGGAGAAAATGGTATATAGTTTATAGTGTGCCTTCTCTCTTTCTCTCTCTCTCTCTCTCTCTCAGATGTTGGGATGTTGCTTTCTACTTTTTGTAGAAATTGAAGGCTTGAAAAGGAAATTGTCAAGCAAACTTGGTGCTAATTCTCCTTCATTGCAACCGAATTGGCAGGTTTGTTCTTTCATTACCTTTAATAATCAAGCATATGCTGCTATTAGCTGTTAGTTTGAGTGGTATCTCCCACCCCTAAAGAGAGATGTTTGGGTTCAAATCCCAATTAGACACAAGTTTGTGTGTTATTATTTATTAAATGAGGAGGCAGAAATTAGCTTCTAGCTAAATTTTCAACAACCGGGAAGGAAACAGTAAATACCAAGTTGGTCTGATTGACTATCATCCTTTTTAATTGGGGTAATTATAAGATAAAAAAGCTAATCCCTGAGAAAATGGGCATCCACCATGTTCCAGCTGATTAGCTTTTTATTTATATTTTTTGTTCTTGTTTTCCTTTGTTGCTCTCCATCTAGGAGAAGTAACTGTATTCCTGATTCACCAAAAAAACTGTGTTCCTGATTCCAGAGATATCCTAGTTGCTCTTTTTCCATCATCAAGAAAGAATTGTATTGCCCTGCTTGATTTTCATGTTGACAAGGAACATGAAGGGACGCATTATTGTGGGGATTTATTTGTGCTTATTTTGTCACATTTTGTTGCAGATTGGCGAGTGTGTGGCTATCTGGTGGAGGCCAAACTTTGAAACTATAATGTACCCCTATTGCCCTCCACATATCACAAAGCCTAAGGTAGTAGAGGATCTTTGGACTTCCCAGTGAGACATGGAATAAATTTGTTTTCTCCCTGATTGAGTTCTCTTGAAATCAGCTGTCCTGAAGAGGAATTTTCAATGCAGGAGTGTAAGAAGCTTTTCCTTGTTCACTTGTCTGAAAGAGAGTACTTCGCAGTACCCAAAAATTTGAAACTGCTGGCCGTTCCCCTGTTTGAACTCTATGATAATGTTCAGGTGTGTTCACATTTAAGCTTCAATTTTTATTCTTTCTCCATCTTTATTTTGGAACCATAATTGGTCACCTTATGGGGTTGGGCATGAATCATGGTTTTAAATAACAGTATTGACGATACATATCGGTATAGCCCATAGAGTCATCTATTGGCCAATATATCAGTAAATATCAGTATTGGAATTCCAAAATCCCGATACATATATATTTAAAACCCTGGCATGAATACTGTGCTGAACATAAGATGTGGCTTAAAAAATTGGTTTATTGGAAACATCAGTCTGAAGGAATTATTATGTGAAATGTGACTTTTCGAATTCTCTAGACTGTTTAAAACTTCAAAGTAGACATGCCATAAATTAAGAGTGTGGCTATTGATTTGGCTCCGATATCTTTTGTTTTATTTTATGGGGAAAACTAAACCAACCCTCCTCAAATTTCAGACAATTACAAAGACTCCCCTCAGGTTTCTGAAATAAAACTCCTCCCTTGTCAGTAACAATGGTTAACAAACATAACAAAATAATGCTTTCACCCTTCATAGTTATGCATATTCCAATCTAACTCATTGCTTTCACCCAACCCAATTCTAATCCAATTAAAACTCACCACAACTTAATATATAGAGATTGTGGAGGTTGAAGGAGTGGGTTTCAACAAGTGCGGTGAACCTTACCTTAGATTACCGTGTGCCAAAATGTGATTGATAGTTTAAAAAAAATGTGCATTCTTATTTGTAAATTACAAAGATGTACAAAATATTGTGGATAAGGGTAAAATTGTCATATAAAATTTGATGACATCAGCTTTTTAAAATTTCTTATTAACCGACCATTAATGGACAGCTATGCCCTTAGATTTTATATGTATGCTGAGTGAAGGCTGATTCATGGTTGCTTGTCTACAGAGATATGGGCCGGTTATATCAACAATTCCACAGCAGCTTTCCAGGTTCCATTTCAATATGATCCATGCATGAAACGTGGGCTTGCAGGTGTTTGTCTATGAAAATTTTAGACTAGTAGCTATCCATTTTAACTAGGAGTGTCCTGTTTGGCAGACTGACATATTACTCAAGCTAGTGCAGCCTAGGTTTGTAGTTTTCTCTGGCTTTAAAAGAGTTAAAGAAACAACGTGATAGTATGTCTGTGTGTTTTGAAGCTATGAGGTGTGTTTACAGATGTCAGGTTTAATGATGAGGAGAAACGGCATTGATCCTTTTGAAATAGTCTCTGTAGTTGTTTTGTAGCTTTCCAGTTGATTGGCTTGTGTTTGTGTTTACGTGTTTGCTTTCGTAACTCTAATTTCGAAAAGAAAAAAAAAATACATGCTGAAGGGATTCATTTCTCCCCTTGCTTCTGTAACTTCTGTTTGTGCTCTCGACAAGGTTCTGTGTCTTTTGTTTTTATTTTGAACTTTTTGTGCTTTATGTGACAGTGAAGAATGGGCAGGAGAAGGGGGAAATTGAGGGATCCAATTGATTATCAGTTTAATTAGTTGATTTATTAGGCTATGACGGCTGTGATTATATACCAGTGTTATATGAATAGAAGAACCCAAAATTGTTCAGCTGTTTGGTCCCAGACATGTGGGCGCAAAATGCTATCTTGCTCTATTCTTACGTAGCAATAAAAGCTTGCTTATGCTGCTTCGTCAGTGCCTTTTGCCTTCTCTTCGCTCTGGACAGGAGCGCTAGAGGATGTGGAGAGGGAGTGGGTGAAGCCTGTCATTCATAATGGAAAGAAAGATACTACTAATTTGCCTCTTTTGCCATCTTGAAATTTTAGTTCTGTGAAATGTGGATATTTGAACAAAGAATTTGGCAAGGTTAGATCGTCATTATAGCAGTTCTATTTTTATTTTTTTGGAATTATGAACAGTAAAGATGCTATGTGAAATTTCTCTGCCACAAATTTTGTTTGGCCTATTTTGGCAATACGGTGAAAAGTTAGTTGTTTGACTTTTTAGTTTTTTTAAATTACATCACTTCTTTATTTTTTACACATTTAAAAAAAAAAAGTCAATAAAAGTTTAAAAAGTCACCTTTAATCTATTTTGATAATTGCCTACTATGAAACATGTTTTCCATGTCAGAGCTGCAGGGTAACTCGAAAAATTGATTGCTGGAGTGGCTCGGTTGTTGGAAATGACGTCGTTTTGATCTTTTTTCTTTTTCTTTTTTTTATCTCTCTGCTTCCTCTTCTTCCTTTCCCTGGGCAATATGAAAAATTAGAAGAAGAAGAAGAAGAAGAAGAATTCAAAAAAATCAAAGTCTCAAAATCTAATCTGCAAAAAAAAAAAAATCAAAACTCAAAATCAAAATCTAAAATCAAAATCAGTTGGTTTTTTTTTTTTTTTGACCCCACTCTGCTTCCTCTTCTTCCTTCCCCAAAGCAATTTGAAAAATTAGAAGAAGAAGAAGAAGAGCCTAAAAAAATCAAACAGCTCCAAAATCTAATCTGAGAAAAAAAAAATCAAAATCAAAATCAAAATCAAAATTCAAAATCTAAAATCAAAGCCAATTTCAGTCGCAAATTCAGCCAAAAAGAAGAAGAAGAAGAAAAACAGCCTAATTTCAACGAAAAAAACAGCCCTGATTTCAGCATAGAAACGGTCCAATTTCAGCACTAAAACAGCCCCAATTTCAGCACCAAAAAGCACCAATTTGAACACGAAAACAGCATCAAAACAATACCAAAATAGTAGCAATTTGACCAAAATAAAACCAAAACAACATTTTTGAATTTTTTTTTTTTTTTTTTTTTGAGCTAATCTGAGATGTGATTTTTTAAAGGAAAAATCAAATCCATTCTCCTTCTCCGTCTCCGATATTTTTTTTATTATTTTAAAAAAACTCTAAAACAAATATTTTACCTTTAATTTTAACAAATATTTTACCTTTAATTTTTTTTATTAAAATATCAAAAATTATTAAAAATAAAAAATACAGATTAAAAATTGAAAATATTATTTTAAGAAAACTCTAAAACAAAGTGAATAAAGCACCATTTGAGAATTGGTCATTTTAATTAATTTTTGAATTTTTATATAAAAAAAATTGTGTACAAATTAAAAATAATGATATGACAATTTACACAGTAATAACTTTTTGACTACAAACTTAAGTTCCCAAACAGTCGCCAAACAGGGCCTAAGATCAACAAGAAGAAAAAAAACAGAAAAGAAAAAAAGTCCCCAAACCGGGCCTAATCTCCTATCATTGTTCTCCTCCCATGGAGAAGGGATACGTGTCCTTTTTGGATAGATACACAGAACAGAAGTTAATGTTGACCCACCACGTGTATAGTGGGACCCATAGGATAATTTATGGACCTTATCCAGAAGAACCGACCTCTCTCTATTCCATTCCAATATTTATCCAATCCAAACAAGAGCAATCTCTCAAAATTCCAAGCGCGTGCCAAACACACACCAATCACACGTATTCGTACCGGAATCGCGCGTTCTCTATCTCAGTCAAGTTGCCTCCATCTTCCTACTGATTTGCGTGTAATACACACCCCTGCTTTAATAAGAAAAATTGCAAATGGTACAAATTCGCAAAGTTTAATTATTAAAGTTGGTATTTTTACCATTAATTTGTAATTTATTTGAAAATTTGTACTGAATTGTAATTTTTTCTAATTTAATACCATTGCTCATTTAGGAACTTGACTATTTTAATTAATTTTTTTATATTTTCAACATGACAAAAAAAATTACAGTTCTATTAGAGAGCACCAAAATACCTGCTCTAAAAAGAGCTCTAAACAGGTGGCATGTAATGTGTGAAACTGAAGGCCATTTGCATATTGAGTGCGTGTGTTTCACGCACTGTAAAAAAAAAAAGTAAAATAAAATAAATCCCGCTCAAATGTTGATCTGAGCTCATGTATATAAAAGAAAAAAAAAAGAAATTCCCACACATTTGATCTGAGCTTCTCTTCCACCGTTCCCTCGCCCCCGCCGTCCGGCGTTTGCCTTCTCCTCCACCGTCCGGCGTTTGCCTTCTCCTCCACCGTCCGGCGTTTGCTATCTCCTTCGGCATTTGCAAATCTGTCCTCTGTCGTTCGTCTCCTCCACCGCCCGGCGTCTTCGTCGAACTTGGACTTCCATTTGGTCAGTTTCTATCTCTATCACATAGCAAGTTAGATTAAAAAAAAAAAACAGTTCAGAAATCCACTGTTTTAGATGTTTATAAGTTTATAAAACATTTGAGTTCATGAAACCAATTAGAAGTTTATAGTTCAGGTCCAAACTGTTGAGTCCAAACATTAGAAGTTTATACTTCTGATGAGACATTTGAGTTCAGAAATCCCCTTTAGAAGTTTATACTAGAGGTCCAAACATTGGTCACACATTCAGTTCAACACACATTTGATGAGACATTTGAGTTCAGAAATCCCTTTTAGAAGTTTATACTAGAGGTCCAAACATTGGTCACACATTCAGGCCCCGTTTGGGGACTTACTTTTTTAGCCAATTAGCCAAAAAAGTTATTAAATTAGCCAAAAAGCCAACAATTCATACCAAAAAGTCAAAGATTCTCTTTTCTCTCTACTTTTTGCACATCTTTTCGTAATTAGCCAAAAAGTCATCCCAAACATACAAGTTTTTTTTACCTACCTTTTTAGTCAAATAGCCAAAAAGTTACTAAATTAGCCTGTTCCTAAACGAGGCCTCAGTTCAACACACATTTGGGTTATGTATGCTTATACTTCAGTTTTGGTTTCTTGTGGAATTTGCTGTATATATTAGTTCAACACACATTCAGTTCATGTCTAATTTTTCGGTCCATTATTCAGCTCATGATAAAGAAGTTTAATCACCAAACCAAAAAAAAATAAAAATTAGGAGCAATCCAAACAAGTTTAATCACCATGATAAAGAAGTAATATTTCAGTCCATTATTCAACTAATCTCAATCAAAGTTTAATCTGTTATTAATCTATTATTAAAACACAATAATCTGTTATTAATTTTTGAAAATAATCTGTTATTAATTTTTGAAAATAATTTGTTATTAATTCTTGAATAATCTATTATTATAATAATCTATTATTAAATCATTTGATTTCAGTTTAATTTTTGAATGAGCAGAAATAGAGATTGATTCAAATAATGGTGAGAATCCTTTATTAAATGAGAGTAAAGAAGTTGAGAAACCTAAGAGGGGTATGTGTTTTAGCTCAAAGCAAGAAGCGTACACATTTTATGCCAAATATGTTAAACATGTTGGATTTTCTATAGCTTGTAAAACACAAGTTATTGGCGATGATGGGGAATTAAGATACTTTGGGATTTAATGTTCTCGATCGGGGAAGAGAATAAAAAAATTAGAAGTAAACCTTCTAAAGCCATCTCTGACCACAAAAATTGGTTGCAAAGCAAGGGTACAAGCGAGCCTACAAAAGGATGAGAGATTTATGTTAACCACAATTAACCTTGAGCATAATCATGACTTGATCCCCACCAACTCACGCATTTTGCAATGAATAAGAGAATTCTTACTCTTGTGAAGAGAATATTAGAAATTAATGATGAAGCAGGGATTGAGGTGTCTAGGAATTATAACTCAATGGTTGTTGAAGCTGGGGGTTATGAGTCATTAATATTTGATGAGCGAGATGCAAGGAATTACATTGAGAGAGCTAGAAAATTGAGGCTTGGAGAAGGAGATTTCGATGCACTTCAAAAGTATTTTTTGAGGATGCACGCACAAAATTCGAGTTTCTATTATATGATTGATGTTGATACTGACTTTCGCATAAGAAACTTGTTTTAGGCGGATGCAATGAGTCGGGCGGCTTATAAAGAATTTGGAGATGTTGTTTCATTTGACACAACTTACCTCACTAACAAATATGATATGCCATTTGCTCCGTTTGTAGGAGTTAACCATCATGGACAGTCGATTTTGCTTGGTTGTGGGCTGTTATCTAGTGAAAACACTGATACATTTGTTTGGCTATTCAAATCATGGTTAAATTGCATGTCAGATTGTCATGACCTGAACCCGCGCCTATGGATTAAGGTCATAACCGGCCAGTAATCAAGGGATTACACGCTGCCTCAAACCAAATAAAACATATCTTATCAGAGTTAAGGGGCCAAAACGAAAGCAAACTTACAAATTGTCCATAGAGCTTTGCTTACCTGGTATAGCAAAATCATTCCAAAAGTATTTTATAATAACTCACATATACTTATAGAGTTAATCTATATCCAGGAACTTTCAATTATGCAGTCAGCCAAACAAAACTTATATACAAAGGTGATTCAATGTTTTCGCCAACAGAGCAAGACAAGTCTCGTACGTGAGACATTAAGGCTGACTCCTCAAAACTTGGACTTTTTCC